TTCTTCTCAGGGCTGTTCGGCGGTGTGTAGTGATCAGGCGGAAGCAAAACCCCAAACCTCTTCTCCTATCCCAGTGACATTTTGGAGAGTGAGTCTAGGCTTAGGATACCTGCAGTATCATTGCCATCTATCACCCCACAGTCAGCAGGAAAGGGGAGGTGAGGATCACTATCACTTTTTGAGAAACCATCTTCAACTCTTCCAAGGGAGATTCTTTGAACAGGATCATCCACTTCTTGAGAGTCAAATGAATCTGCCACCATATCTGTTTGAGGTCAGACCACAACACATTATTGAAAACCATAGAATTTCTAAACTTCCAGATGCACCACATAACACAGGCACAAACAGAGTTTTTTATGGGCTGGCCAGAATCTAGCAATGGATAGGTAGTTGCTACCTACATCATGAGAAAGAATTCTAGACATTTCACTCCATATTTGTTTAGCAACCACACAGCTAAAGAACAGGTGATCTATGGATTCCTGTTCCTTGCAAAAATCACATTCAGGTGGTTTAGTAATCCCTCTCTTTAACAAGTTGTCTTTGGTCATTAACTTGTTATGGGACAAGAGCCACAAAAACACTTGTACCCTGGGTGGGACCACTATAGTCCAAACAGAAGGTATATATATACAGGTTGCACTCCTCTGAAGTTAATAATATTGTGAAGGGAGCTAGTAGAGTAGACCCCTTTGCTCTCGTATTGCCAAATTAGAGAATCTTCCTCCTCAGTCAGCACACAGTTCTTGATGATCTGCTCAAGGCAGTACCAATTCTCCATCATGGCATCTGAGAAAACCCTCCTAAATGATAATTTGATATTAATCCCATCCCAAGCATCTGCCACAGTCACCCCCTGCTGGTGGCAGATAGTGTATAGGGGCAAGAACTGGACTGACAGTGGGGATGTGCCAAACCAGATGTCTTCCCAAAGTCTAGTCTTCTTACCATTACCTATTTTCCATCTATAACCAAACTTCAGGGCTCTAGCAGCCCACATCACACCTTGCCAAAATTTGGACGTGTTCTGGGGGTTGGAGGCAAAAATGTTTGGGCTCCTCCTAATATATTTAGAATCTACTATTTGTATCCAGATCTTGCCCTCATCATGGATGTATCTCTTAACCCAATTACCCAACAGGCACAGGTTAACATCCTTGATATTTGGGATACACATTCCTCCATATTCTTTCCTCATGCAAACCAGATGCCAGTTTGCAAGGTGAAGTTTCCTATTCCCTTCAAAATCACTCCAAAGACAATG